CTCAAGTTAAAGAAGTACAATTTTAAAACACTGGCACTTCTGTATTTCAAACTCCCAGCACAGCACAGACATTTGACAGGTGATCCTGAAACTTGACTGGTGATACTGCCAGCAGGGTATCAATAAATAGGGAATAGCAGGACAAAAGTTCATCCAATACACACACCCCAAAATTGTCCCAAAAATACAGATTGATCTGGGGGGTTGTTTTCTGGAAGGAATAAACCTTTACAGCCCTGCCATACACACAACAAAGTGTGACCCAGGCACAAAGGGGAGCAAAGCTGAGGGTCCTTCAGGCTCCAGATTTAAAGGGTGACATTGGCTGGACACTGCTGGGAGCCCTCACACATTGCCCATGTTGGGGTGAACTCACAGAAGAGACAGAAATGGTTTTCATGCTGCTCCAATATAGAATCTCTTTACCCAAACCCCAAATCTGAACGAAATCTGCCCCTGCTTTTCCCTCCATACACCCAGGACGTGTGTGGGGCACAGAGGGGGAACAGGAGGGTCTGTCTGCACAGCAGACAAGCCTGAAGAAGCACAATCTGTCATCCTCACAACAAACAGTGTGAGTTTAGCCCAGCAAGGGCTTGAATACCCTTGTGACTAACTGGGGGGAGGAGAGGAGGGAAAAAATCCTTACCAATTCCTTAGGGACTTCTATGCAGGAAAACATAATCAAAACACTTATGTGTTGGACCTTGGCAATCACACACCTTTGCCCACCCCCCTTGCTCCAGATGTGCCAGCTACCCCAAAGAACACAAGATGGAACCCACCTAACTCAAACATCAGTTTTGTGGCAGCTGACACTCCCTGGGGTTTGGCACTGGAGCTGAATCTCTGGGGGATCTCTGGGATAGAAGGGGGCATTTCATGGATGGTTCCACTTCTGAACTTCCCTGGGCGAGTTGCAATTGGCTGGTGAGGCCGAAAGATTCAGGATCAGGACTTTTATCTTTCGAAACTACATATTGGATTTTAGGGATAAATTGCAACATTCTGAAACTGGAAAGCTGATAAAACAGAAAATACTGTTTCTCCCTCAAACATATTTGAAGAAGTCCACCCATGAAAACATTCCAGCCCTGCAGAAATCCAAGCCCTTGCAGCCTGCTCAGCTCACCTGATTCCTCCTCTCCACTGACGGCAGGAACAGGACCCTCCTATTGCAGGGGCTCACCTGGAGATGCTGGGTTAAGGACTCACAACTTCTTAAGAAAATCAACATTATAATCTCACAGTTCTGGCAAGGTTTCATTATCAGAGGGGTTCAAAACCAAAGCTCTGTTACCAGGACCAATTAATGCAGGATGGTGCTCTAATGCCAAAGGTTATTTCTGTTGCTGCTTTTGTTACACTCTGGAATAACTCCTGTAGAGATCAGAGCTGGCAACCAGAATTCCAATGGCACTCTTGTTTCATTTTTCAGACTTTGCATTTCAAGAGTGGTGAATTTTATTGGAAACTTTGAAACGGTTGTAACAAACTGCCTCAGAAATTTTATTTTATTTATTTCTGAGGCAGAATTTTCAAACATATCCTTTGAGTGTGCAAACAGTTGAATGAGTTGTAATGATTTTTATTTACAATTTTACATTTGCCTTGATTGATGTCCTAATTTATATTTTGTTAAATGTGAGTTCTTTCATTGTTGTCTTCTGTAATATATATGGATTTTCACTATTTATTTTTTTTTAAATATAACCCACAAGCATAAAGTGTTACAACCTTTTAAATCCAATTGTTGCCACAGGAGCACGGCATGCAAATATTGCATCCAAATATACTGATATTTACACCAGAAAGTTCAGACTTGATGACAGTTCTACACAGTCATGAACAGAGGGCTAGTTTTATGTGGTGACCATGAATAAATAAAAGCTCTGAGCTTTTCTTTGTTGTTCCCATTGATAACTGCCAGCCTGCCCTCCATGGTTAACACAGGCCTGCATTTTGTAGAGTAGGGATGGAAGACCTTTTGGAGCCCGATAGTTTGATCCCCATTTAATTAGTTTTTAGAAATCAGGAGCTGGACTCGAAGGTGCTGAGGGGTCCCTCCCAGCTCAGCACATCCCACGATTCCATCCCCCAAACCACTGAACCGCGTCACTCATGGCCAGCTCCAGACGCCGCTGAAACACCTCCAGGGACGGCGACTCCACCTGGGCGAGCTCTTGCAGCGCCCGAGCGCCCTGTGGGTGCAAACAACTCTTCCGATCCCTGCCCTGGCCCTGCCCGGCCTCAGCCCGAGCCCCTTCGCTCCTGCCAGCGCAGGCTCCTTCCCAGCAGCCGCCTGAGGAGAAGGCGGCTCCCGGCTCCCCTGTGCCCCCCGGCCGGCCCCGCTCCGGCCCCGCTCGGGGGGAGAGCTCCCCCGGGGGGCCCTTGGCGGCGGTGGCTCCCTGGGGGTCGCTCCCTGTGGGTCCCTCCCCGCGGTCTCTCCCCGGGGCCGCTCTCTGTGCCCGTCCGGCCGCGGCCGCTCCCAACTCCCAACTGACCGAGGGCACCTCGGCCGGGGCCGGCCCCGGCTCTTGGCCCCGCCCCCTCCGCCTTCCGACCAATCCCCGCCTCGCCCCGCCCACTCCGCGTCCTCCCATTGGCTGCGCGCGCCCAGCCCATGGGGCGAGGAGCGCGCGGGGAGGGTTCGACACCACGTGACCCGCGGTTGGAACAAGGGTCAGGTGGGGAGCGCTGGGAGCTGCCTGGCAACTGATGAGTCATCAGTTCCACGCGCTCCCATTGGTTAAAAAATGCTTCGGGCCCTTCTGTGGCTGATCCCTCCGAGCCCCCTCAGTGTCCCCCAAAAACCGGGACTGTGAGAACTAGGAGGCTTTATTGGCAACACTGGGAGTAGCTGGGCGGGGGCAGAGTGACAGTGGGGGGGGGGATATACAACCCCCCCAGAATCAGCACGGGGATGGCACGGGTCCATGGGGGGCACTGGGAGAGAGGGGGTACTAGGATGAGCTGGGGGGCACTGGGAGAGAGGGGAGACTGGGATGGGTTAGAGGAGCACTGGGAGAGAGAGGGGAATTTTTTTGACCCCTTTCCTGGGCACTGGAACCCCCTGCACCCCTGTGCCCGGCCATCCCAGCTCTCCTTCCCCCACAAGCCATCAACAGGTTTTGGAGCTCCCTCGAGCGTCACAGCCAATAGGACAGCGCTGGTTTAATGACGTCACTGGTTTTCAAGAAGAATATGCCTGCCCCTTCTTCCCGCCCCTGTGAGACTCATCCAATAGAACACTGTGAAATCCGTGACATCACCGGTCACCAGGCAGAATTGGCGAGCTTGGGGGCTGCTTGGAGCAGGGCGGTGCTCGCGGTGGGGGGCGGATCCCGATCGATCGGGATCAGTTAGAATCGATCAGGATCTGGGGTCTCTTCCCACCACCATGTTCTTCACGTGCCGACCCAACGAGGCCATGGTGGTGCTGGGTGAGTTTGGGGGGTCCGGGGACTCCTGGGAACCCCCCAAGTCCCCCCCAAGACTCCTGGGGACCACCAACTTCCCTCCATCAAATCTCCCAGGACTCCCCCAGCCATCCCAAACTGCCTCCTGGGGACCCCCTGTATCTCTTCGTTAGGATCCATGGCCAGAACAAAGACAAGTACAACAGTCATTCAAACATTACAAAAAATCTCTTATTGCAGTTAGAGTAAAAGACTACTAGCAAAGAGGTTAAAAAGCTAAAAAAGAAGACAAAATCACTACTTTATCAGTTAGCATTCATACAATACTACAATCAGGTTTTATTACAACATTAGCTAGTAAAAAGGGAATTAAAGGAATACAAAAAAAAAAGAATACAAAATGTTTTCTTTCCCTGTTGCTTCCTATCAATAAACTGTGCTCACCTGCACAGACAGGCCAGGCCTACCAGGCTCTGCAGGGCTGGTCGGTGCCCGTGCTTGGCGGGTGTCCCCGCAGAGCAGCACAGTGTGGATGGAAGGATGAGCATCGCTCCACCCAGCAGTGCTGACACCCCATTCCATCAGCTCTACATTACACTACGTAGGGCCAGGACGCAGCAGAAGGTGGTGCTTGAGTGGCAGCCAAACAGCGCCCGTTCATCACCTCATGGCAACAGTCTGGGCGTGCTCCACTGTAGGGCAAGGGGCCAACGACCCCTGCCCACATCATCTTCCTCTCCATCACCTTCCTCAGCCCTATGGACGACCTGTACCATTGTGTTCCAAGGGGATTTGTATCTCTCTTGCAGAGTGGAGCCAAGCCAAGGAGGAACTCAGCTCTGATAATTGGGGACATCCAGTTAACTTTGCTAAAGGCACAATGGGCCTTACAGTCAACTTGTGCAATAAAGTCACATTGTACAATACTCTGGCTGGTTTCACATGTGAATATAATCACTTTCTCACCCCTGTGTGCTCCACTGATCATCTAAATCAAAAGTACCCCCTTACACCATGGCAAGCATTGTGCATTCTCATTGTTACACTGATTACCATGGCAACCATTAAGCATTCTAATTGTGAAGTTGGTTACCACTGCAACCATTGTCCATTCTCATTGTGACATCGCTTACCTTGGCAACCACAATGCATTCTCATTGATATGTGCATTACCATGGCAACCATTGTGCATTTGGATTGATAGGTTCGGTTAATAAGGCAACCATTATGCATTCTTATTGATATGTCATTCACCATGGCAACCATCTGTAACACACAGATAATATAAAAATGCCAAAAATTGTTTCTGCCGTTCAAAAACTTCCTATCAAACATTCTCTGTCAGCTCTCTGCCAGAAGTTCTCACCAGGACTTCCCATGGCACTTTTCCTGCCAAAAGATCCTGCCATTGTTTATGATTATCATATCTATTCCAACATCTGAACTAGCTACGTGCCAAAAAACCATGTTCAAGCTACTGTGGACACTATAAAAATTGAGGGCAAATTCTGGAAAATCAGGGAGAGGAAAGGGAGAAGAACTGGTGACTGTAGCCGAGAATCTCTGCCCTCCGCCCCTCACCTTTTCTCCATGGAAACTGCAACACTAAGGAAACATTAAAAGAAACACTAAAGAAACACTAAAACTACCACTAATAGAGAATAAGATAGGACAGTGCTCTACACTAAAGCAATTGTTGAAGCAATTCTACTCAAGTTGGCACCAAAGAAAGAATTATTAATTAGAAATGGATGGAACTCCCCCAGACCAACAATCGTGGGGAGATCTCTGCTCTCAACCTCCAGCAGTGACCTTGGGGGGTCCCAGTCAAGGCAGGAATCTCCACACACCCCCAAGAAGGGTTCTGTTGGCACAACCTGCCCCTGGCAAAGGGCATTGGCCCTTTCTGGTGGAAAGGGATGGACTGACAGTCCCTGGACTCCAGGGGTTGCCTCACCATCAGGGGGGTCATTCGGGGTGGGAGCAGCGGCCAAAGCTCTTCCCGCAGTCAGGGCATTCCTAGGGCTTCTTTTACTGGTGGGTTCGTTGGTGTAAGGTCAAGTTACCTCTGTGGCTGAAGCTCTTCCCACACTCCCCACACTTGTAGGGCCTCTCCCCAGTGTGGATGCGCCGGTGCTTGACAAGGGTGGATTTCAGGTTGAAGCCCTTCCCGCAGTCGGTGCAGCGGAAGGGTCTCTCCCCTGTGTGTGCCTGCTCATGCCTGAGGAGATGTGAGCTGCGCTGAAACCTCTTCCCACATTCCAAGCACTTGTAGGGCCGTTCCCCAGTGTGGATGCGCTGGTGGTTGCGGAGGGTGGAGTTCTGCCTGAAGCTCTGCCCACATTCTCTACATGTGTAAGGCCGTTCCCCAGTGTGGATGAGCTGGTGGCCGAGGAGGTGGGTGCTCTTCCTGAAGCTCTTCCCACATTCCAAGCACCTGAAGGGCTTCTCCCTGCTGGGAGGCTGCTCAGGGTCCACCAGCTCCGAGCTCCGGCTCAAGCTCCGGCCGCCTTCCTGGAACAGAACGGGTCTTTCCTCCTCAGAGCTCTCTGGGCTGGCTTTGCAGCCCCTCCTCCGGGGGCATCTCCGGGCCTTTTCCTCCCCGCTGCCTTCCTGCGCTGGGGAGCCCTTCAAAACGGCCTCTCCCACCAGGCTCTGCCGGGGGGATTTGTCCTCCGTGCTCTCCGTCCTCAGCTCGGGGCCTGGGGCAGGAAGGAAGGACAGGCAGGGGATTTGCCTCCAGCCCAGAGGGAAGGCCAAGGACATGTCCCCAATTCTGGCCCCCACAGGCACCACAAGACAGGGGTAAAGGGGCACTGACTTCCTCCTCACCTGCCTGGGGAGCCTGTAGATATTTCCTCTTCCTTGCAACCTCCTCCTCCATCCGCCCAAGCTTTGGGAAGGACAAATCCTGCTGGGGGGAAACAAGGGCTGAGCGCATTGGTTTCGGGGTTCCTCCTGCCCAAGTCCATCTCTAGAACTCACCGGGCATCCTGGGACCATAAAAACCTCCAAAACACCAAGATTCAGCCCAAAAATCCCCAGCCAGGAGTTCCTCCTGTCTGGTCTCTCCACTTTGGGATTCTGGAGGTCCCCCCTGTTCGGGCTGCTGGGAATCCTGTGTGTATTTGGGGTCTCCCATCTACGTGGTCTCTGCTCTCTCCAGGCTGCTGGGGCTCCCAGGAATCCAAGACTCCCCATCTCCCAACTTCAGGGTTCTGGGGGACCTCCAAAACATCACGATTCAGCTTAGAAAAACTGAAATCACCAATATGCAGGCAAAAAAACTCCTCAGAAATAGCAAGAAAACCCCTGCCCCACAAACTGCAAAAAGTTGAGATTCAGCTGAAATATACTCCAAAATCTGAAGATTAGGCCAAAAAAATCTCCCCCACAAGTTCCCCCTCTCTGGTCTCTCTCCTATGGGGTTCAGAGGGTCTCCCCTGTCTGGGATGTTGGAGGTCCCACTTAGGGATGCTGGGAGTGTTGGGGGTCCCAAGGGTCCCTCCTCTTCTGACTCTCACCTTCGGGGTGCCGCCTTCCCAGACATTTCCCCTCTCCAGGTTCTCCACCTTATTGTCCCAGGGATCCCAGGGGTTCCCACTCTCCAGGTTTCCCCTTCTCCGCTCCCCCGTTTCAGGCTCCCGGGGGTCCCGGGGTTCCTCCCTCTCCGTGCTCCCCCCTCCAGCCTGCCGGGGGTCCCCCAGCTCCGGCATCGCCCGCTCCGCCCTCCACCCTCGGCAGCTCCCAGGGGGACCCCAAAACTGCTGTGTCTGCCCAGCCAGCCCCGGGCTGACAGTGGCCCTGACCCTGTCCCTGCTCCTCCCTGCAGGCTCCGTGGCCGGGCACACTTTGTGTTCCTGGGGGCCACCAGCTCAGCAGCTGCAGCCGCTCCAATCAGCGCCCGCAGCTCTGCAGCAAAGCCCCAGCTCACCTGGCACACAGGGCATGGACACAGCACCTTCTCGCTGCTGGGCACTCCCAGCTCAGCCTCTTCCCCAGCACGGGGCTCTCCTGCCTCAGCACCACCTCTGCCTTCCACTTCTTCTCAGGGCCACCTCAGGGCCTGCTCCGGGCTCACCTCCGGGACATTTCTCAGGGTCACCTGGGTGGGAGAGGAGGGGCAGCACCACAAGTAGGTGAGTCCCGAGACCCCCCTGGTGTCCCCAATGTCCTCAGGGCCTCCCCATGGCCCCAATTCCCCCCTTGACACCCCCAATTCCACTGTTCCCAAACCCCATCCCAAATGTTTCCAGCCCTCTATCACCCCCCAGAAGCCCCCTCTGGACCCTCTGACCACAGACCATGCCCCATTCCCCCTTCACACTCATAGAAAATTCAAAGACATGTGGAGACGCGTTGGGGACAATTAGGGGGCTTTGGGGGGCACTGGGTGATTACTGGAGGATACTGGGACATACTGGGGGGAACCAGGGGACATTGGGACTGGGGGGTTATTGAGGGATGCTGGGAGGGCACTGGGAAGGACTGGGTGATTACTGGGGGATTACCAGGACACACGGGGGGACACTGGGAGGTTACTGGGCCATACTGGGGGTTACTGGGTGCTCACTGGAGGATCATTGAGCCATACTAAGGGGCAGTGGGAGGTCACTGGGAAAGACTCGGTGGTCACTGGGGGGGTTACTGGGTCATACTGAGAGACACTGGGAGGTCACTGGGCTATACTGGGGGCACTGGGATCCCCTTACCCCCATGTGGTTCATCTCCCTCAAAAGGCTTTAGGCGGCACCACCAGGACCACTGCCCTGAGAGCGGGGGAATCCCCTGCACCCCACTGATAGGCTTTAGGGGACCCCCGGGATCCCCTCCCAGTGGGGTCTCTGTGTGCTGAATTTTGGGGGTCTCTGGGGTTCGGGGAGGCTTCGGGACCCGCTTTCCCTGCGGTCGGTCCGCCCAGCCGGCAGGGGGCGCTGCGGCAAGAGCGGCAATGGCGGCGCCGCGCTGGCCTAATGGGAGTTGTAGTTTGCTCATGGGGACTCCGCCGGCGCCTGCGCAGTGCAGCCATGGCGTTTAAACCTCTCTCCTGAGGGGGTTCCATGGCCCCAGCCCTTTCAGGGACCTCCTAAACCCCTTCAGGCACCTTCACCCTCCCCTCTGAGCGCCCTCAGGACACCAAATCCCCTCCGCGAAACCCTGAGAGCCCCTCACGGACCTCAAAACCTCCTCGGGAACCCCCGAGCCCCTCCTCTCTACTCTGCCGAGCCCTCCAGCCTTCCCGCCCGCAGCCGCGCTCCCCGCAGCCCCCGAGCGCATCCCCAGCCCCGCCGCGGGGCCAGGCCTCACAGAGTCGAACACGCCTGTATCGCCGCCATTGCTTTCCCGGCAGCCACCGCGGGGCTGTGCGCGCGCACCGCCGGCAGAGACCCCGCCCCGCCCCCTTTTCCGCGCGGGGCACGCCGGGAGTTGTAGTTGCAGCGGCTCAAAGCTCCCAACTCCCCCAGACTCAATTCCCCACGGGCGTTCCTGGGGCAGAGCGGGGCAGAACCGGGGCGGGGACGGGACGGGTACTGGGTGGAAATCATTATAAAAACTTTAACACCTGCGTTGGAAGGGACGGGTGTGGGTTTGTATTCCTGGAGCCTCAAGGCTCATGGAAACCTCTGCTGCTTCTCTGACCTCCTGCCCAGTTTGGCCTGGAGTCTTTTTCCCTCTGCAGCCTTTTAGGCAGCAACGTTTATGGGGTTTATGAGGACATGGCCTTTATGAGGAGAGCCTCTTAGGAGGTTTGTGGATTCTCTAGATGCAACCTGGCAAAAAGGGAGAAGCTGAAAAAAAGGGTAAAACATTGGGGAGAGCCCTGAGGCTCAGATCCACTGCTGGTGGGGGACTGTAGGGACAAGAGAGTTGTACAGAACAAGGGAGAGCCGTGGGGGCACTGTGGGGCTGTGGCTCTGGCTGCAGCCAAACCCCCCCATCCCAGAGGAAGGCAAAGGGCACACAGAGATCTCAAAATGCCCAGGGGGATGGGAATTGAATTTTTAAAAAATCCTGAGAACACCAAAAAGGACCTTGATGAAAACCTCTGGTGTGAAGCCAAGGGCTTTCACCCATGGCTGTTGCCTCGTTCCTCCCAGCTGCAAGGTCTGGGATGAGGGGAGATGACTGTGTGGCCAGACAGGTCTTTGGGCAGATGGGACACCCGGCCTTTCCTCAGAGCAACCAGGATGGCCCAGCCCTGCACAGCCCCCCCAGAGCCTGGCAAGCTGCTTTGCAAGAGGAAAAACCTACAGTGGTGTCACCCTGAGAGTTTCTCTTGTCTCAGCCTCTGCTGCCAAGTGGTGGGGCAAGAAGAGGCGGGTGGCACAGGCAGGGCCAGCAATGCCTGTCCCGCTCCTGCCATGGTGCCCAGGTGAGCTCCCCTGGGACAGGGGGTTGCAGGAATTGTCAGATCCCCTTACCCTGGTAGGGCAGAATTGTTTGGGAATCGGTATTATCTTGTTTGGTTTTCATAATCACACAGCAAAATGGTCATTATTCTATCAATATGTGTGTGTGTGTATTTATCTATGTATATTTAATTTTGAGAGCAGAGCAGTGCTGTTTTGAAACTCATCTTTCCTATAAAGGAATTTCTCTCCTGACAATAAACTCCCTGAAGATTTGTATGCCCCGTGCCTCTCCTTTCAGCAGGGCTTCAGAGTCCCAGAGGCATCAGGACGGGCCCTCTGGCTTTTGCAAGGTCTGCTGTGCTCAGGCTCCACCAATCCTTTGGGGAAATCTTTGCTGGGTGAGCAAGCCAGGCTGCTGCAGGCCCAGGCTCAGCTGGAGGGAGCCACTATGGCATGGACGCTGTGTCCCCATGGGCAGGGTTTGCTTTGGAGCCTGTGCTTGTTGGAACACAGGGATCTGTGAGCTGAGCTGGGGATGGACCCGCGGCCCGGCCCAGGCGCCCCATGGAGCTGCTCTGGGCTGTGTGCTGGGACAGGGACACACAGGACCTGCTCCTGACACGTCCCTGCACACTCCACCAAGAACCAGCAGCATCTTCCTGCCTTTCTCTAAGCACAAAAGTGTGTTTGCTTCCTCTGTAGGGGTAACCCCCCATTCCCCACTGTTCCCCAGGAAGCTGCAGCCCCTGCAGGGCTCATCGCGGCCTCCAGCACTGAGTGCTCAGCACAGGCAGCACATGGAGCTGCTGAGAGAGTGCAGAGGAGGCCTGTGAGGTGCTGCGAGGGCTGGAGCCCCTGTGCCCTGAGGAAAGGCTGCCAGAGTTGGGGTTGCTGAGGCGGGAGAAGAGAAGGCCCCGGGGAGGCCTCAGTGCAGCCGGGCAGGAGCTGAAGGGGCCCAGAGGAAAGCTGGGACAGAGTGTTCAGCAGGGCCTGTGGGGAGAGGACAAGGGGGCACGGCTTGAACTGAAGGAGGGTGATTTAGGGTCGATCTAAGGGAGATGTTTTCTTCCAGGCAGGCTGGAGGGGACTGGCACAGGCAGCGCCTGAGAGGCTCCATCCCTGGGAACGTTGAAGGGCCGGTTGGATGGAGCCCTCAGCAACCTGGTGTGGTGGGAGGTTGCTCAGGTTGGAACAAGATGATTTTTAGGGTCCCTTCCAAGGCAAATCATTTGAGGATTTGATCATTCTCTGGTCCCTGTCCCCACAACTCCTGTGACATCCCAGCTGCCAGAGCTGTGCCCGTGTTCCATGTGGAATGGCCAGCACCAGCACCCAGCACAGTGCAGCCATTCCCCTGCTGCCATCACACCTTTGTGCAGCTCCCAGTGCAGCCTCTGCGCTGACCAACCCTGCTGTGCTCTGAGACAGCCCTTCCCCCTGCTCAGAGACCACCCTTCCTCCTGCTCCCAGCACACTGTCCTGCCCTGCTCCCTTCAATCCCCAGCAGTCCTGAACAGCAGCTGCTGTGTGGATCTTGTCCCCATCCCAGCAGGATGCTCCCTCTTTTCCTGAGGAAGGTACGGGGCCGTTCCATGCAGGTGGGCACCCCTCGACCGCCCGGGGGGCTGGAGCTCTGTAGGGATGGTGTGGGACAGGGAGCCCATTCTGAGATTGTACCCCTGATGCAGCTGAGAGAGACACAGTAGAGGAGATGAAAATCGATATGGGATTGGATAGTGAGGAAATGATGGAGACGGATCTGGAGGAGGATGTGCAGGAAGAGATGGAGATAGATCTGGAGGAGGACACAGAGGAGGAGATGGATCTTGAGCAGGAAGATGAGGAGCAGGACATGGTGCTGGGATGAAGACCCCCAGCAGCAGGACAGGCCCGTCCTGGCCATGCCCTGCCCCAGGGACAGGGGGTCACTGCTGCCAGGCTGGGGCTGGGCTGGGTGGTCCCGCTCAGGGACACGGTGCCCCGTGCCCGGGATTCTGGCGGCACAACCCCCACCCCCGGCCTGCCCTGTGCCTGCTTTGGGCCACACAAGCCACGTGCCAGCGCCTGGGGCCCGGCTCCCATCCCCAGCCGGGCTCAGGCCTGGCGCCAGAGTCCCGCTGTGCCCAGCGTGTGCCAGGCTGGGGGCACAGGGAACACCCAGCAGGGCCCGACTGCACTGACCCTGCCCTTGCTTTTCTTCCAGGACTGATGGACATGCCGACCATGCCATTGCTCATTGCTGTACATATGTTTTACATCTTGTTTTTGTACATACGTTTCATATTTTTGATAGTTTAAGAAGATAGATTTTTTTTTAAAAAGTTTTTTTATGAAGAAGATTGTTATAGTATTTTATGAGAAGATAGTTTTTATTAAGATGATAGTTTTTTATTAAGAAGTTAGGTTTTATTAAGAAGATAATTGTTTTTATAAAGAAGATTTTTTTTTTTTAAAGAAGACTGTTGTTTCTGGAAAGAAGACTGTTGTTTATATAAGGAAGATCATTATAATAAAAATAACTTCTGTATATATTTTATATGTTCCTGTTTTGTTGTCCTTGTGTAAGACATCTCACAGGTTATCATTGTTATCCAGGCCCACAGAATGTGCCCTCTCAGCCCAGACACCCCCCTGTCCTGGGCTCATCCCCAGCCCTGGGGGCAGCAGGGCACGGGGGGTTCTGCCACTCTGCTCCACTCTCAGCACACCCCACCTGCAGTGCGGCCTCCAGCTCTGGGGTCCTGACACAACAAGGCCAGGAACTGTTGGAGCGAGGCCAGAGGAGGCCCCCAAGGGGCTCAGGGGACTCGAGCACCTCCCCTCTGCAGACAGGCTGGGAAAGCTGGGGCTGTCCAGCCTGGAGAAGAGAAGGTTGTGTGGAGACCTCGGAGAACCCTTCCCGTGGGTGAAGGGGCCTCCAAGGAAGCCGGAGGGGGACTCTTGGTCAGGAACTGCAGTGACAGGACAAGGGGAATGGGCTCAAACTGCCAGAGAGGAGGGTTAGATTTGATGTTAGGACTATATTGTTTCCTATGAGGGTGGTGAGGCCCTGGCAGGGGTTGTGCAGAGAGGCTGTGGATGTTGGACCTGCTGCCTGGGAGGAGAAAGGCACAGGCTGAGTCTGCAGCTCCCCCAGGTACTACACACACTGGGACACTGTGGGGACCCCCTGAGCCACCCTCTGTAAAGTGTGGGGATCAAGAAATGAATGCCCTGCCCAGCTGTGGCTCTGGATTAGATCTGACACCATCACTCTCCCCTTGTTGTGATGCAAGGGCAGGAGAGGAGCAGGATGCTCTCCAATGACTAGGAGATTGTCCCCAGTAGTTGTAACAGGGTGAGTTTGAAAGGATGCTGAGGTTGAAAACCAAGACACTGCTAAGAGCTCAACAATAAACCCAATATTTATTACAGAAAGTGGCCAAGTAAACGGGAACCCGAGAGACAGGAAAGGAGAGGAGTGAACTGAGCCCTCAGTGAAACCCCCACTCACTCAGGTGTGTTTTATGAGGTTGTCTTACCGACCCCAGGATAACCAGAATTCCCCACAGCAGAGGCTGCATCCTCGGAGGGTCAGCAGGCTCACAAAGATAGCGGCGTCCCCACAAAAGGCAACCTTGTCCTTCCTGTGAAGCTTGAGTGCCCCGAGCATGAGCCACCTGCATTTTTATCCACTGAGCCGGGGACGTCTCCCTGGGCCGGTGTGGCAGCACCGCCCAGCCAGAGGCCCTCGGTCCCTCCCCCGTTCTGGGAGTGCCCCCCTTCAGCCATGCGGGAGAACGTGGGGATTCCCCTCGCACTTGTGCTGTTTCACTCAAGGGGTCTGATCTATTTGGGTCTGGGGGCTTTACTTCATCCTCTCCTCTTCAGTTTCTCCTTTAAATGTCCCCTACAGACAACCAGCTGATCACAGAACACCAATTCAAACAGTCTATA